CCCTCCCTTCATACCACACCCTAATACTATTTATCTATACCCATTATTTCAGCCTTTTGTTAATTGTTAGCATTGTACAATGCAATAAATTTCAGAATGAAACTGTAGGTTTTGAAATAGATCTAGGTTTTCATGAAGTTAATGAAAGTGATGATGTAGAAGAGGGTATAAGGGGGATAAATGGTGATAGGAAAAAAATCTTGTATTCTCAAAAAAAGTGATGTTGAAGACCATCTCTAATGTCATGTAAAGTCCTTGATAAGTGGGGATTTGGAAGAGATAGATCAGTTACCACTGGAAGAACAGTAAATTGACCTGGGTAAAGACAGGATCAAGGCTTCAAAGAGAATGATTCAACTCTTAAAAGATAACAAGAGGCCCTTGGGATAATTGAAGAAGCTCTCTAATTTTGGAAAAACAAAGCAAGACTATTCATGATTGAGTTACAACCAACACTGCAGAAATACAAAGAATCATTAAAGAATGCTATGAACAACAAATTCAACAATCTAGAAGAATGGACAAACTTCTAGAAGCGAGTAACCTCCCAAAGAACCAGGAAGAAATAAGAAAATCTAAACAGATGGATTATTAGCAATGAAATTGAACCAGTAATTAAAAAAAACTGATTATGTGATTATGATTGTATGTCAAAAGTCAATGTTGTGTTCTCATGCACTTTGGTCAGGAAAATTATGTTATTTCCCCAATGCTTGATTCTGTTTCTGTTCATTCTAAGAATTAGTGCATATTTGCAATTATTCATTTTAAATTTAAACAAATATTTTCCACATTTTCAATTTTATTTCTGAAGGCAAAGTCCCAATCAAACCCTTTCGTCTTTCTTTCCCCTATTCTGTTGTGAAATGTCAATCTCTGCTTCGAGTGGATTCATGGCAAGTGGCCTTTTTCTAGCACCACTTATCCTCAAAAAACAAGAACTTCATGTAGCTCCAGCCTTCTCTTCATCCATGATTGGCAAGCCTGGTTGCACATTAGAATCACTATGGAGTTGTTAAACAATACTGAAGCTGGGACTCCAACCTAGACTAATTAAATCCAAATCTCTGCTGGTAGGGCTAGAGTGAAAACTCTCCAGGTGACACTGTTGCACTTGCAGGATTATGAGCCACTGCCATCATCCTTCCTTGCAATGCTGAGGCTGGGAGACACTGAGACTGTCTGCAGTTAGATAGAACTGAAGGGAGAACATTAAGGCCTGGGCCTGGGTCGAAGGGGTTGCTCAGAGGGGTGACAGCAAGGGTCAAAGGGCATGTGCTCACCAACCCAACCCAACACTAGGTAGGGCTACTTCCTTGGCACAGCCATTGTGCCTTTTACTGCCTTAGCACTATGGTTATGCAGCCACCTCCAATTCCTTACATCTCTTCTCTATCCCCAAGACCAAGAAAGCTTGGCTCTCCTCATGGACATTTGGTGAGATAAAAACTTCAATGTTCTAGTAAGCATATCATGGTTGCCAAATATATAACATCATGTTATCTTGCGGATCCAATATGTTTGTCTTT